AGGACTTATACCTGGATCATCTGACCCAGAATTAAGTGCGCAGACCGTTAGTCTACCTTGTAATCTAAACTTGGATTGGTTTTTCGATTCTCTTTCAGCAACACGATTCAAGAAACCCGCAGCCCGGTATGATTTTATCGACTCACGTGACAAGTTCAAAAGAAGGAGGAAAAAAGAGCTTAGAAGGATTGAATTTAAGTCTCTCTGAGAGGTAAATTACTGCTCATCATTTCGCTAAGGCTCCACTAGGTTTTTTGCGAACCAAGAAAATCGCAGAAAGAAAACAAGCCAATTTATGGTTGGTTTTGTTATGGAAGTGTCTTGTTTTGGACAAAGACTTTGTCGTGATTTCTTAAAAAAACTTGCATTTTGTTTTTTGTAACAATTGTTGTTTCTGACTTAAGTCGTCAGGTAGGCCTCATCGAACATTTTGTGCAAGTGTCGTGTTACATTACTGTGAAATTAATTGAATTGTCGAAGTTTCTTTCTTTCTTACTAGTAATGATCGTTAAATGGTCTCTTTCCAGCGGCTCAAACATTTTGTTTTCAATGGACACTCCTACTACACCGGCGAGAACGGCATCTTATCATTCGGAGCTGGAATATATTTGGGAAAAACTGAACGATGAAATTAGAAAACCTGGCAACAAGGTAATATTTTCTGACTTAATATGCTTACCTTTGTTCGCGTTTAATTGCAGTCGGTTCAATTTTTCAAAGAGCAATTTCCCATTGAATGTTGAAGGTAATCCGTGATGACATTGATTTTCTCTCATTGTGCTCTGGGATTAATCAAGAAAATATGCGTCAACCTCTCAACCAATCAGATGGAAAACTAAAACCAATTGCGACGTGGTCATTGGCGTTTTCCCGCCATAATGTTACTGTATCTGAGGTTTTCATTGGTTCTTTCGAAGACAACCTCTTTTCTGATTGGCTGAGGTTTTCTTGTATGGGTTTTGGTTTTACGAGAAGCATGAGTGGAGTTAGTTTCCACGCATTCTCTTAAGCGTTGTTTTTTTTTTTTTTATCTTGCAGGATGTAGATATCATTGGCAATAACATCCTCTCCCTGGTGTATTACTTTTTCAATTTAATGCCTCTTTCACGAGGATCAAGGTAATTTTAAAAGATCTTTCCTCAATTGACTACTTAGAGTCAGCGTTTGTTAGATACACTGGCTGTTAATCTAGCAAGGTGTTTTAAAACTCTTTATCTTGCCTGACAGGGAAGAGACATGCTTACAGCTTCTCGACTCAAACTTCCTCACCCAACCGTGTGGCAGTGGAAGTCTTTTCTCGTTTAGTGTAACTTAGAGTTTCTAACAGTTTCCGTTCATTGTATCCTTTCTCAAAGGGTAGCGCAGCTGCACATAACAGCGTTTGCTTTTTAAACCATGATCAGTATTATCCAATTGAACATTTGAGGAATTATATTATTTTTTATCAATTTTATCGTCTTATAAATCCTCTGTAGTGCTGTGGCTTATACAGTGGCACTGGGCCTTTTCCTCGCTGTTGGTCGGGAAACAACGGGAAAAATCCCTCCAGGAAAGGTAAAATACCACGTTGAAGAAGGCACTGTTTCTCAGTGTGCTTTAGGAGTTGCTGTGGGCTAATGGTCAGTACGTTAGAATCCCAGCCGGACGGAAAGATCAGGCTCTATCACCAGAGAAGTGATTGTGTTTGGTCCTCTCACTCACAGTGCCTCTCTCCATCCAGGTGTATAAGTGGGTACTGGCGAATTGTAAGAGAAACCGCACGCAATGTTGGA